TATCATGTGAAAACAATGCCAGGTTAATTTTTTCATAAGAAAAAAGAAGACATGGCTATTGTATGCTATATAAGGCATACAAAGCTACAACAGGAACATAATTGCTCTACTAGTCAATTCACAAAGAAGAGTGAGCATGCATTTGCTATAGAACTGAACTTTCCAAATCAAAGAAACAGTAAAGGGAAACTAACAATCTTTCTTTTGATATAAGTTGAATATTGCATACTGTATAGTGCTGTTACTGCCTAAGTTTCTTAGCTGAATGCTCTCTTTCTCTCTCCCCCCCCTTCTCCCCCTCCCTTTCCGAATATAAAGTATTGGTGAGTTGAGAAACAGCCATGTGTGATGAGGGAGGTTTCCTTCTTCATGCATTGATTTAGTCCAATGTTGATTTCGAAATCTTGCTCCAGTGCTTCAAGTGAGAATGTGATTTGAACCACGTTCGGATAGGAAATATGCTACATCAATTGATAAAGTCAAGAAATTGAGAAGTTTCACGCTAAATTCACTGTAATAGCAATAATGGAAACTTATCATCCTGATTATCTATTTATTTTTCTGTTAAGTGTTGTTGGGGCCGGGAGGAGGACTTTGAATCTACTTGCATGTCATCTAGTTTCCATGAATCCTGTTTCTTGTTTTTTATGTGTTTTATGTTAAAAATAAGCCAAAGTGAACAAGTAGATCTTGAAGTCACAAGCCTCATGGTAGGTAATCCCAATAGGAAACCTCTAGATATTGTATCAGACAGAAAAAAAATAGTTACACATCAATTCTATATGACCAAGAAAGTTTAATTTCTATGTCATGAGACTTTATGATTTTAATGCTCCTTATTCAAACCCTTAAGTGAAACTTCTTGTAATCTTGTTACAACACTATTCTTTCCTGTCGGGTGGATAATTTCTATACCTGGGAATAAGGGCAATGAAATTATTCCCATTTTCCATTTAATAATGAAATCAAGATCACAGGATACAGCTAATGATCAGTTGTATCCCCTTGACTCTATCTCTTCCCAAAATGATTCTCTTTCTCCTCTGGGTCATTTTCAAAGAACAAGGAAACCCACCCCCACCCCCCGCACCCCCAAAAAAGAATAAATAAATAAATAAAATAGATTATGGGTCAACACATCACTTAGGTCTTAATAACATAGAGTTGCCATAGCAGTAATAGCTTGATTTTGAATGACTCTGCTCTGCAAATTTGGATATTCAGGTGCAAGACTGATCAAATTTCCTCAATCCCAGAATATAGAAGAAAGTGTGTTTCATTTTTTACGACACATCACCTTCCATTAAAAATGAAATTATGAGCACAGGCAACCTCTAATGAAATTATCAGAACCCAACGAGTCATTAACAAGTCCTTGCTAATTATTCACATCAAAATCGGAACATTTAAGTTAATTGGGAAAAAAGACCCTAGTATCCATGAATTGAACATTGCAGGTAAAAGAATAACAAGTCAGGCATTGATTAAAGGATGTAAAGCAAAGCCTTGACTGTGACCCCAATTTAAGAATAAGACAAGTATGGAAACAATAGAAAAGACAATCGGGAAAGAGCTTACAAGATAGAGAGCCTTGTTCTATTCAGTTTGCATGACGAATTTCGGAGCTGTGGGAGCAAATTGAAAACCCTAAGAGAGCGAACTCTTGTAGAGCACGAATTGAAAACCCTAAGAGAAATAACCCCAGCCGCATGTTGCTGCTGCGGGACGAGAAGGGCGGCGGGTCGAGCGCGAATGATCACCGTTGGTGCTCATCCTCGTGCTGGCGCTGATGCTGCTCTCGTTGCTACAATGGGACAAGAAAGGGTGGCGAGTTCAGCCGCCGGCACTGCTCGAGCGCAACTACCCATCAGTAGTCGGGTCGCCGGCTGGAAGAGGAGGCTTGGGGAGGGCTAGGGCGGCGGTAGAGGGGAAGGCTTGGAGAATGCTGACGGCATTAATATGTTTAAGTTACACTTAAGTCCCTTTAATATTTAAATTTATAATTATATCCTTTCTTAGCTTGCATTGCTTGCCTACGTGTATTTATATTATTGGTGCACTTAGGCAAGGGTTACAAAACCCGATAAATGACCTAGGTACAGTAAAATTCTCTTCCACCAAAATTTTTGAGAAGTTCAAATGTTATTTCTAACTATTTTTTTTTTACAAGTTTCTTTCCTGGAAATTCAACATTTTGACCATGCATTAAAACACAAAAGATTAAGATTCCTTCATTTTTTAAAAAAATTTCCTTGCTTATCCTTTTTTTTTTTTTTTTTTTTTTTTTTACCTATTGTAACATGGAAAAGATGCCGGCTTACTCATCTTTAAAAAAATAAAAATAATAAAGCCATGCTTTGACTCCAAGTCACGCTTTAATTAAAAGAAAGAATCTTGTCTGTAAATCATTATACGTCAATCGAACTGGGCCTGTCTTTCCAAAAGAATTAAATAATAACTAAATGGGAGAGGATCCGAATATATAGTCAAACATTTTTTGTTTGTTCTTCCAGAAAACTTTGGGGTTATTGATAATCCGACTTTAATTCTTGCTATAGTTATGTTCTTGTCAAAGATGCCTCCCATGAGGAGCTTCTCAAATGGGACTAGTTGTAATTCTAATTCGCCTCAAACTCATCCTAGGTATCCCATCTCAAAGCAAAAGCATGTAATGGCCAGGTCGGTAAAGAATAAGAATTTATTTAATTGGGTCCGATATCTTAATTATAATCTGTTCAATCAATATCAATGTCTAATATTGATGTAATAAATATTAAAATTACTTATTTACAGAGTCAATTTTTAGTATTAAATACACGAAGTATATAGGATGAATACATTATATGGCTAACTAATTGACCAATTTATTTGATCTTGCAGTGCTCTCCTCTTTTACCATGAGGTAAGGCCCATACCTCTAATGATGACAATTTCATCCATGCTTGATGCATACTTGTAAAATTTACTCGACCAACTCTATGTATAGATTATGAAAAAGGAGTATGGAGATGGTTTAGGGATTTTGATTCATATATGAAGGGATACAAGTGTGAAAATGAATACCGTGATATCTAATCTATTCTACATTTGTATTATATATATATATATTAAAAATACATTTAAATAATTTTAATTGTACTATTTTACCGCTTCATCACTAAAACCCTAAGCGGCTACTCTTATCCTATATATATTGTATAATAATATATATTTGGATTTGACATCAATCCATGGGCAAGAAATATTTAGAATGATTAGAAAATTAATTAAGAAAAAACTATTAAATTTCATATCAATAGCATTACTATTATACATCTGCAATCTTGTTTACAATGAGTTTTTACTATTGGAATTCAACTCATCAGTTTAATATTATTTTTTCTTTAATAATTTTGATAAATTCTTTGCAATATTTTAATACTTTCCACAAGTATTCTACTGATTTGTAAAAGTTTCTTTTGAAAAATAGTCATCATTTTCTTTTAGTTTATGATCAAATAGATATATGGGTAATACAAGTACAAGTATGAAGATAAATATCTAATAGGTAGGGATTAAAATTAATATGGAACTGGGCATGGATGTACCAGGATGAGTATAGTGGTGTCTATCCTATACATACCTTATTGCTATTCTTACATACAACGTTGTGTCTGTATCCCAGCTCATTATTTAAACAAAAAAAAAAAAATACTATTATGAAGAATAACATCAAATAAATTCAAATTCGCCACCATCTCACCTTATAACCAAACCACATAGAGTTATTAATATTGTATTTAATGTTAATTAATGAAACTATTTCATCTCGGATAAAAAACATAATAGAAATATAATATTTTTAGTATTTTTGTATCCATTGCATTTTCTGTAATTTTGATAAACAAAAATGCCCAATGAGTGCACGCGACGGGCACATACGACAAGTTAGATTTTGGACATTTGAAGTGGGGATAGAAATGGGACTGGTTTGGGCGGGTCGTACAGTCCCTAGTCCAAGACATGTATTAAAAAAATAGGCCAAAGTTTGTATTTAGATTCCTGTACCCGTCTTAATTAATATTTATTTATTTAAATATGAACCTATAAATTTAAAATTATAATTTATTATAAATAATTTTTAAAATTAAAAATTTATAAATATTTAAAATAATTCTCAAAACACTTTACTAGAAATAAGAAAATATAATATAATGTATTATTTTTACAAATACCAAATATTAAAAATTACAATATCAATAAAAATTAAAATTATCATAAATTATATATATATATATATATTTATATGAGTAGTATAGAGATTTGGGGCTGTGTGGTAATTGTTGTACCCAGAACAGCCCAAATACCTATTTAATTTTTCAAATTTAAACTTAAATTTATTTAATAATATTTAGATTGTAGCTATCTAAATAATTTTTTCAAATATGCATTGGAGCGGTCCAATTGCCATCCTAAGTTCTAACGCACCCGTTGTGATCCCTCAGAGACAGTACCATTATTTTATAATACGAGAGTACTAATATATGTATATATATATAATATATCAAATAGGAAGATCAGAACAACCCATGGGTCATAGGCCAAACGACATATACACTACCTTCTATTAAGGTAGAGACAGATTTTAGACCCTTACGCGTACATTTGCCCTCAAATGCATCAGACAATAAACAGTTACTTCCCAACCCCTTCAATCCAATAAAAGTACAGCACAACGGATCTCCACGACTAACCCATTATTCTCTTCAAAAGTACCTTTCATCTCTCTTCCTCTCTTGAAGACGTATGTAAGCATAATATATCATATATGAGAGAGTTGGGGGAGGAAGAAAAATCATAGGAGGCCATCATAACCATGTGGCTTCTTGGGTTTTCCACCTCAAACCCAAGAAACCTTTGGATAATTGGGGCAATAATACTTGTAATCTTCCTCACTATCATTCTAAAGAAGTGGGTTATCCAACTTGAAGAAAAAGCAGGAGCAGGAGGAGGAAAAGAAGATGGTGTGGAGATCAAAGAAGAAACAGAGAAGAAAAGGAGTTGCGGCTGCCATTGTTCTTACTACAGTTGTGAGGAAATAATAAGGACTTATACACTGGAGGAGCTTAGGGTGGCGACCAGGGACTTTAGGGTACCCATAGGCGTCGGAGCCACGTCCTACGTGTACCTGGCAGAGCTCGGGGATGGGCGGCTCGGGGCGGTGAAGCGGGTGGTGGCGGAGAGAGGTGGAAGCAAGAAGGTTTTCCTGGACGAGGTCTCTGTTCTTCTCAGGATATCTCACCCTAATTTGGCGGGGTTGATGGGGTTCTGCATGGAGAAAGGTAAGCACCCCCCTAAATTTTTATTTTGCAATTGCTTATAGTAGACCGTATAATATAAGCCATTTGTAAAGTGACTCCTTATATATTTATTTTTGCAATTAAATCCGTAAGTTATCTGAGTTTTTCTAGTAGCCCCTCCAACCTAATTTCCTGCCAAATTGGTAGTAGTCTGTTAACCCACAAATCATTCATTACATAAAACTCCAAAATGCTGATTTCAACAACCACTCAGGAGAACAACTTCTACTGTTGGAGTACGTACCCAACAAGACACTATTCGACCGCCTTCACACCTACCAGGGCCAGTCCCAGGGAGTCCTCCCGTGGCGGAGCCGCCTCAGTATCGCTGCCGATATCGCCCGTGCCCTCGACTACCTCCACACCGCGGCGGACCCACCAGTGATCCACCGCGACGTCAAGTCCTCCAACATCCTCCTCGTTGACGACGCCCATGCCAAGCTCGCCGACTTCGGCCTCTGCAAGCTCGGCCACGATGGAGATGCAGCCCGGACTCCCACCGTCATCAAGGGCTCACTTGGCTACGTTGATGCTGCCTACCTCAGCACGGGTTGCGTGTCCCGGAAGAGTGACGTATACAGCTTTGGGGTGCTGCTGCTGGAGCTGGTGACGGGGCTAAAGGCCATGCAGGTTGGGGAGAATCGGTGTTTATTTACCGTATTTAATTATTTAAAAATTTATAAAATCTAAATATTTTATTTAAAAAAAGATTAATTAATATTATGTGTAAGTATAAGGATTTACGCTACATTTTACATAATTAATTTGATTAAAATTAATGGTGTATATTACTTACAGTTGATTTAAATACAAATTAATTGCTAGAATTTGTGAAAAACAGTTGTAATTAATTTACACCGTAAATTTTGACTAAATTAATAATGTAAAATGTGGTGTAAATCTGTTATACTTACAATCTGTGTCAATTGACCTTTTCTTTTTTATTTATCTATTATTTTGAAAGTATTTTATCTTTAATATTTCAGAATAATATTAATGTTTTAATTCAATGTGATGATAATTCGTGTTTATTTGCTTTTTGTATTAATATATTTAATAATTTATTTTATTCAAATTATTAATAATTAATATATGATAAAAATTTATAACAATATTAAAATGAAATTTTGCTATGTCATCCTCTATTTTTGTTTGGCTTGACAGATGCATTATAATGAAAATTGTCACCATAAATACAGGTTCGGATGTACTGCCAGAATGGACAGCGGAGAGCCGCCAGAGTGAGGACCCCGAAGTCCTGATGGTGATGGTGGACCCAAGGCTTGGGGGCAACGTGGACGTGGAGCAGCTGAGGGTGGTGGTGGATGTGGCCAATTCAGCTCTGCTCGACAACTGTGAGGCCAGGCCAGACATGAGCCAGATTTTGGGGAGGATTTTGGGTTGCATGGAGGTTGTGGGGCAGGCTGAGCTACCCGTATAAAGTTTGTAAATAATATCCGAGTTTGTTGTCGCCAAATCATTTGTCAGAAATGCCCCTGTAGATAGATGTATATATGCATATATAGTCATTTTTTTATTGCATATATATAATCATGCTTATCTCAATTTTTATTTTTTTATTTTTTGTCAAATAAAAATACATGAATAATTTTTACTTGACATAACGTATTTAAATGCTGTATTATTCAAATATTATCCTTAGTAAATGAGTGTGAACGTATTTAGTAATGTGGAAAGGAAAAAAGATTTTCTAATTTTGTAATTTAATAATAAATTATTTCCTTAATTATCATCCGCAGAATTAAAATTAATGTTGTTTGCAGCATACTTGATATGACTTGACAAAATAAATAATAAAATAAAAAATGAAAAATTTAGATATACTATCCATGCTATTATGATTTAAATGCGATTGAAAAAGGTAAAAATATTATTTCTCATTTTTATCCAAAGTAAATATGTAAAAATAAATTCATTTATTTAAATTATTTTTAACATTTCCTACTTTAGACCCCGAAGAGAAGGTTGCTAGCACTTCGAATTTCTTTATTCAAGATTATGATAATAACTATTATACCAATAAAACCAATAAATTTTAAATTCCCATTTTGCCCCCACTACAGATTCTGACGGTGGATCCGGTGGCCAACGTCACCGGCGAGACTGGTTCCGGCGGAATTCCTTCGTGTCCATTTTCTTACCCTTTTTGGATACATAATTAATGTAGATGTGTATGCATACATTTAGATATTGTATAATGATGTACTATGTTATATTTATCATATATAATATGTACGCAGATATTTACACAGGTATTTGCCATTTACGTAGTCATAATTTTGTATCTCTAGAGGAATTTATACTCATCAATGGTATGGAATTGGGAATGATACGATGATTTGATATCTGGAATCGGAAAATTTGGGCAAAATGGTTTGGAGGAAGCAATGCCAGGAGATAGCCAACTCGGGGCCAGTGTTCCTGACTGTCTACGCCACGGTCGTCGTCGGAATCCTCCTCTCATCCTTCTATGTCCTCTCCGCCATATACTCCTCTGGTGGCTCCTCCGGCGCCTCTTCCTGGTCGCTCCCTCCTGCTTCTAGTAAGCACCCTCACTCTCTCCATTTGTGTATACATATATGCACTGCCACGGGCAATATGGCATGTAACTGCTGTTTTTCATTAATTCTGCATTTACCCAGTTTGATTGTTTGTGATGTGTTGCGTTGAGTGTATGGATTATGAACTGATTCAGTACAGAAAAGAATTCGCTTTTTCTTTGGCTGTGTTAGACACTGGAAAAATTGGCTTGTTCGAGTTTGGGTAAGAATTTGCTCGTTTGAATTTGAGTTTGAGTCTCTGACAGTGAGATTGACGCAGTGTGAGGGTGGAGATTAATTTCTAAATTTGAAAGAATGAAGATGCTTTGTTGGTGGACTACGGGTTGCATTTAGCATGCTATGATGTATAAATAGGTAAGGCTGTAATTGTGTGTGTATACCAGGGTTTGTACTTCGATTATGCAGAATCTTGGAAAGGCAAGAGCAGAGCACTTGCTAACAAAGAAAAAGGATGACATTGAGATTGTGGAAACTTCAAGTAGAATAAAGTTATAGGGTCGAAATGGAGAAAAAAGAAAAGAAAAAGTAAAAGGTAAAGAAACATTTGCTTCCAAAATGATACTTCAGAAGATTATCACAAATTGACAGGTTGAGTTCATCCAGGTGGTTGAAGTCAATTTGCATATAATTCAGATGGAAAAACAAAGCACTAGAGTACTCATAATTAAGATTATAACCAGTGGATTAGTATGGGGAATTGCCCTAGAAATTCTGGCCAAAAATATGAAAACAGGCAAAAGAATGTTTCGAGGACAAAATTGGCAAATGCTAAAGAATATAAAGTTTCGAGGCTTCAGCCGCATCCATTTGCTCGGCAGCTGGAGGAAGCAACATACAATAAGGATGAGGAAGCTTATATCATTAGCACAAGCGGTTTAACTAGCATCAATTAATAGTGGAAGTTCTCTTCCTAACTTGTTTATGTTGCCAGAATGATGTAATCAGACTCTGGAGATTTAAATCTTTTGACTCTACTTAAGTATTTCAGGATATGGCTCATGTTCTTCATTGCTGGATTATTCAGTCTTAAATCATATGAGAAGTGGTGGCATTGGGTCATGATTGCCAGGCTTTGGGTTCGTGAGTATTATGCTACCAATATTTAGATTCCACCACTAATTTGATATGAGATTGGAGATGTAAGACTGAGTGAAAATTTGATTATTAAATGAAAAATGCAGTAGATCATCTGTTAGACACTTGCCTATTGTTGCCTTGGATCTTCAACAAGGCTTAGAGGTTGTACTTGGACTTTGGAATTTAGTAATGCGACTCCAAATTGCAGATCTCTAGCCTTGGCCTGCTCACCCTTCACTTGGATCAATCACTAAATCTTGCTAGTTTGCTTTTATCAGAACGCACAGATATGTCTAAGATATAGTTGGGACCATGCTTTAGTTTTTGTTGTTTTTTATCTTGAACTTGAGTTAATCCACAGGTGATTAAGTGAAGCATTTCTCTTTGTCATGGAATTTTATTTAGGCTGTTTGCTACAATGATCTTGGTGTTATAGTGATCTACCTGTGGAATCTGTTGAAGAGTGGATGTCAATTCATGAGCTAACTTTGTGCTGGCATATCCTTGTTTGTATCACGAAGTGATATGTTTACGCTGTTAAGTTCCTTCTTGGTCCTTTTTGTTGTTCATTTCCTCAAATAAAATATGATTATCACAATCTGTTAATTTTACTTGTCATGGTCCTGCCTAAAAGAGATAAGCGCTCAGACTATTGGTAAGAGATTACAAAGTGAGATATGAGCTGCTTTAACGGCAGCCGTCCACAGTTCTCTGGTTTTCTTTAATGGTGTAACAAACTTGTTGTCAACTTAGATCAAGTGGATGATAGTAAGATTGGCTGGATAATCCAATTCCAACTTCCTTTTATGGTTTTCCCTATTTAAACAAGTTCAACTGCAGTCATTTTTACATTTTTTCCCATTTCACTGATCCAAATAAGCTAGATATAAAATACAAGTTATGTGCATGGTACTGCAATAGCTCCAATTAAAAAGCTCATGATCCATCCATTAAATAGCATTTCTTTTGACTTTTTTTTTTGTCCTTGTTTTTTCTTCTTTCCTTTTGTCAGTTTTGGTTGATGTGTCAATTGATGCTATTATGCCTTTTAACATTCAGCTTGCTGTTGTCTTTTTCTCTCCTGTCATAGTTTCATATCTTTGTTAATTGATTTCCTTCACTTTATAAAGCATGTTTCATAATTTATGTATAGATTCTCAACTGCGGGATCAAGCACCTAACTCTTCTCAACTAACAGCAGTGGGTCAAGTCCTGGTGCCTGCATCTCTACCTGAGACAAAACTGAAGAGACCTATTTGGCAGGCTCCCTCTTCTGGTTCAGAAATGCCTCCACCAAAGACATTCCAGCTGACAAAAGAACTGGTTGAGCAAAGGGTCAGAGATAATATCATCATAGTCACCTTTGGTAACTATGCATACATGGATTTTATCTTAACATGGGTCAAACACCTGACAGATTTTGGTCTGGACAATCTTCTTGTTGGTAATGTCCCACTACCTGAGCTGAGGTTTGTGCTATAAAAAATATACCTCCATAATCTATGTAATTGTCTGGAGTATCTGTTCTCATAGGTGCAATGGACACAAAAGTGATGGAGGCTTTGTACTGGAAAGGCATTCCAGTGTTTGACATGGGTAGCCATATAAGCTTTGTAGATGCTGGGTGGGGCACACCAAAATTTCACAAAATTGGGAGGGAAAAGATTATTCTATTAGATACCATCCTGGCATTTGGTTATGAACTACTGATGTGTGATACAGACGTGGTTTGGTTAAAGGTACCGTTTATGCTTACTATATTTTATTCTGTTTAGCTACATTATAGTGGAGATTACCTGTTCTCAATGGGAATGAGTGTTTAGTAATCACAAATGTTATACTCCAATCTGGCCTGATTGAAACCCTAAAAGATAAAAAGGATGTAAGAAGAATGTTTTCTCTACTGAGTTAGAACAGGAACTAGTTTTTGTGGAGTTGGTTTCCTCAAGTGTCTAACAATCATTTAGATATCCTGTTGCCTTTGCTACTGGTGCACATATTCTATTGACAGATTTTTGAGAAATGAGAAATGAGCATGTTATTCTGACTGGGAAAAATAAAAGGAAAAAGAAATAAAAAAAACAGTAACAGCTATATTTACCTGCCACTGAAACATTGGTTTTGCTTCTTTGCACTCATGAAGAAAAAAGAGAAGTGTTTCAAATCAGCTTAAAAGTTGGTATCACGTCGCATAATGAAGACATTGAGCACTATATAGGTGACTGCTTGTGATTCTTTAATTGTACAAGTGAATTCTTTGAAAGGTGTTCTGCAGTCTGTACCCTTTTCCCTGAACTTTGTCAACTGTTTCTTTCTTTCTTTTTCTTTTTCTCTTTTTTCATGAGAATGTTTTTGATTATCTTCTCCAACTAGTCCATTGTGAACATTAGACTATGCAATTTAATTTTTGTAACATAAAACTCTTATTTACCTTCTTTTTTTTGGTTCTTTATTTGTGCCATTTATTCTCTTCATGGAGCAGAACCCACTTCCATATCTTTTGCGTTTTCCTGAAGCTGATGTGTTAACTTCAACCGATCAACTTGTACCAACAGTTACTGATGACAGATTGGAGAACTGGCAACAAGGTGAAGACTGTATGACTAAATGACTTAACATCTTTTGCACATGTTAATCTTTATGGCAATTAATTTTTCATTTGCCATTATTTTATTGTTGGTTAGCGTCAGTGATCTACCTTTAGCAAATCTGTAGGAAGGTTCCGCCTGCATTTTCTACAGTTTCTGCATTCTTTTCTTTTGGAGGAGGGCAGGGGTCCAACCATCATAGATTCATAGGTACCTTCACTATAGTATGAAAGAGGAAAAACTACCCTGCTATCAGGCCTCGTACCCCAAACACATGAATGAATATACAAACCAAAGGCTCATCTCTTCTAGAAACTCTACATATATCTGGCAAAATAATAGCTGATTAGCTCAATGAACACGCTTTAAATTACAAAAGGTCATCTAGTTCTGTCGGTTCTAGAAATCATCTGATTAAAGGTCTAGTTGATAATGATGAGGAGGTTGGAAAGCAGTCCCTCCTTTATATGTTGTTTTGATGTTAATGTTCTTAGATCTAGTATTCAAGGTATAATGATTTAATGGATGGATATTACATTCTTATTGGTGGTTGATATGGTATCTGGTGATATTGGCTGTATTTGACCATTATTGATTTTGCCCAACAGGATAGCACTCAACAACCATGAGTACAAGTGGCAAAAGTTCACATAAGGGTAACTTGAATTGTCATAATTGATGATCAACTGTGCAGTGACATATATTCGGGCTTAAGCTAAAGTAACATAAATGATGACTATCTTTCACTACTTAATTTTCTATTGTAGTATAAATGCATGATTTAAGATAAAAAGACTGAACTCTTTCTGATCTTTTACACAATGTTCTTATTCATAGGAAATATAATTGCTGGGCCAAATATGAATTTTGAAGCTAGATTTGCACTATAATGTATTGTTTGCAATAGAGTACATGTACTTTGCTTTCACTTTTACAAAATAAGTACTGTTATTTTTGTATCTACTGTTTTAGTCATGTGTACCTTGGTGTAAATCACGGGCCAGGTTTTGTCTGGGCATTATGTAGTTAAAACTTGCGTATAATCAAATAAACCAACACATTTCTTTTTTTTTTTTTTTTTGTAATTTAACTTCGGATTCAATATTTCAGTTTTTAAATATATTGGTTTCCACTTCATTTTTGGCTTTCTAGGTTCTAAGCCTGAGTTAATTGAAAAGAAAATTTTTAATTTCAAATTTATTAAGATTTGTTCATTTTTTTGTCATGTCCCCTATCATTTTTCACTTATTCTTTGTCAATATGTCCTATGCATTATATTTTGCTTTTTATTCATCTTTGACGTGAAAGTTTACTTTTTTGTACTTTTTGAAGTTGTTATTAAACATAAAAGAAAATATGTTAATAGTGATTTGATTGAAGTAAATTATTGTTCAATTTTGTATTTACTTGATTTAAATTAACCAAAATCAGTTTGATGTGGTTTAGAATTTGGTTCTGTTTGGTTTCAGAAATTTGGATTTGAGTAACTAAATTAAACCGATAACACACCCCTGCTTGAATTGTCCTTTTGCAAGTATGTATTAGTATCTTATTATAAACTATTGCAGTCAAGTGGTTCATTAGGTTTGTTGTGATTTGTCTGGTAGAGGGATCCTGTGCCAAGGTTTTGCTGGTAAAAGCTACTAGCTAGGATATTTAACCTGTTCAGTAATTGGTATGCCAAATTTTCACCATCTTCTGAGTAAATTAGAATTGTGACCTATCTGGGACTCAAATGATTAGACATGTCCATTTCTTTCTTTGTGTAAGGTCTAACATGAGATTCGAGGAGAAAGGGAAAAATTCAAAAGCTTTGGGTTTGAAGAATCTTTATTCTTAATATAAAACTATTGACTGATGAACTGCAGTATCCCAATATGAGGAATTTTGTCATGTTGAGCATTGTCTATTCTTACAACTGTTTGCTGTGACTTAACGTGTTGATTCAACTTAGAACTCTCTGCAGCCTTTATGACTTCATAGTCATTCCTGATTTACTATCTTGTTTACATGTCCATGTTCAAATCAACGTTTGCCATTTAATGAAAGCATGCATTTCTCATATTCTGGCTTTCAATAGTTATTGGGTACTGGTTTAATAGTACAATTCTTCTTTTGTCTTGGACAGTTGGTGCTTCTTCGAATATAGGAATTTTCTTCTGGCGAGCAACAGATTCTGCAAAGAACTTCACAGAAGAATGGAAAGACATGCTCATTGCCAATGACAAGTTATGGGATCAGACTGCTTTTAATCAACTTATGTGGAGGCAGTTGGGACCATCTGTTGATGAGGACAGTGGACTTGTATATGCTTACAATGGAAAACTCAAGTTGGGGCTTCTTCCAGCAAGTATATTCTGCAGTGGGCATACATATTTTGTCCAGGTGGGTCCATTTGCATGGTTACTTAAGATTTTGGTTGGATTCACATCGTGTGACTGGGAATCTGGGCATTTCTTAAACCTCTGTGCTATCCTTGTAGGCTATATATAAGCAACTGAGATTAGAGCCATATGCTATACACGCCACATTCCAATATGCAGGTACAGAAGGAAAACGTCACCGACTACGTGAAGCCATGGTTTTTTATGATCCACTGGAATATTATGACTCATCAGGTACGGTTTTTATAAAGCATGTGTAAATACCTTTACTTGGTATGTCTATTTCCATAAATTGCTTGCTGTAGCCCTGATAATCAAGCAAGCTGCAAGAGATTAAGTGGGTGTAGCTGTGGGGCCTTCATAAGATAATATAGAGTTTGGCGTGAAACTTCACAGCTAACAAATATCTTCTTGTTCTAAAAGGGTTCTTACTGATAGGAAGACATTGACAGCTTATTGTCATTACCGAGAGAGTCCTATGGTGACCTGGGATTTCTCCTCCTTTTCCACTTATATCCACAGGAGAATGACATTATGTGAAGGAATTTATGATCAGTTGGAGATTCATGTAGGTTGGTTGAGGTGGTGAGAAGACTAAAATTAAAGGCCTATTAACTTTGGGAAGTTTGAGATTTCATGCTTTGAAAGAGAATTAAATGCGGACAAGTCCTTATAAGGTGAATAACTGTGCAAGTTGTATTTCACAAGCAGAAATCAGCTTATGCATAGGAGAGAATCATTAAATGGTGTCCTTTAATTATTTCTTAAATTCTAGCCTGGAATTGATTGACCTATTCTTCAATGGAGAATTCCAAAAAATCCTTGCCTTCGTCATTTCTGGGAAGTACTTTCTCCTGGATGTTTAAGGGGGGAGAAGGGGGTGAGGATATGCTTTATCTTATTATTGAATTCATTCTCATTTCACTAGAGAAAGCAAAGTGAAAGAAGGTTTTTGGATGTTCTCAATGTTCCATGGACCAATAGTTGAAGTATTTCTATTTCATAAAGGGTATGAGATAAGCAAGAAGAAAGAGAAGATCTTGGCAGTCCCTGTATATGTCCCTTTACAAGCCTCTGCTGGGTTTTGTTATGTTTTGTTTTTTGTTTTGTTTTTTTTTTTTTTTGGAGGGGGGGTGGGGTGTGGGGTTGCCTATAAATATCTGATCTTTTGAAAGAATTGATATAGTTTCTTTTCTTTTATCTACTTTACGATGCTTTTGGTAAATATTAAACTAGACTGAAGAAAAGAAGTTATGATATAGTTTCTTTTCTGTTATCTACTTTGCGTTGCTTTTGGTGATACTAAACTAGACTAAATAAAAGAAGTTATGATATAGTTTCTTTTCTGTTATCTACTTTGCAATGCTTTTGGTAATATTAATGTATACGGTTTTTTGAGTGATAAACATTTGGACCAAAGCTGAACTATAAATTTACAGAATCAAATCCCTTTCAGAAATACCACTTGAAGAGTTCCTTTTAGCTTTTCCTTTACATGAAATACTGCTACAAGTTAATTTCTTGAATCTCATGCAGGTGGTTTCTTGACCTTTAAGTCATCTATCCCGAAGGAATTGTTACTTGACGGGAAGCATAATATTGAAACACATTTTTCTCTGATTAATTACCAAGTATGCATATTTTGACCCACTCTTATAGCTTCTCTAACAATTTTAAATGAACTGTGTTACAATTCATTAATTCTGTTTTGAATGTTGGTTTCAGCTAAAGCAAATAAGGACGGCTCTTGCTATTGCTTCTTTGTTGAATCGTACTCTGGTAAGAATCTTGTTACATTAGACATTTTAGAGCTTGTGATCCTATGCTATTCTTCCTTTCTTTGCTTGCTTGATTTCTCATTTTCTTTCTTTTTTTTTTGTGTAAAAATCTTACTGTTGCTTAATTTAATCTCAATGATATATAACAACATATCAAACTACATAACATTATTGTTGAAAACTGCTCCTCTAAAAAATTGAACCTTGTGAGCGTGGTTATGTCTTCTTTGGTGGTTGCTTAAAAGCCGGTTTCTTGTATATAGATATCATTGAATGCAATAATTGCAATACTAAAACATCTCCATAGTGACACCAAAAGAAGGCAAAAGTAGGAAGTAGCATTGAATAATAATGGTAGTACCAGTAATTGGTGTGTGTAACAAAACCAAATTGGCATCGGCATTAGGTTAGATATCTTTTAAATCTTTGACCACTGACTTCTTCTTTGTCTGAAGAATCATTTGGATAACATTTAAAAGACACAGAACCACATGATCGCCCAATATTGTAATGGCATATTTGATGACTTGTAATGGGTATGGGGGTTGGCAGGAAAGGGAGGACAAGTAGTGCTATCATAAAATGAGTGGATTCCACAAATAGGATGAAATGGGAGGAGGGATTGGGAGGGGTGATACAAAACTAACAAGAGGTACTGGAAGAAGGTGAGATAGCCTATGCTGGGGTAGAATAAGATGAGATTAGGTGTTTCTTCATTTTTTGGTAATTTTTTCTCTCCTTATACCTTTATCCACAGGGCCAGGTGGGAGGGATGTCATTCACAATGTCCCCTTTTATTCTCCCTTTTTTACCCAACTATACCCTATCTCCAAGTTATCCAACACAAAAAAAGTCCAGCATTGTGTTTCCTGTCCCCAGAGCTTACCAAAGGCCCATAAATGGTTTCCATGAAAGCATTTCCAGCCTGTCCAGTTTATTCAAACAACTAACTTCCTGGCTTTAGTTTCCAATCGAGGTTTATCCCAGTCATCAAACAGGTCCTAACAAAGAAGAATACATGAATTGTTGGACAGTATGAATTGTGCAAACAGGATATTAAGGGAAAGGGTTACTTCTTCTGTAGCTTAAGTTTGGATCCACAGGCATTCAATATTATGTCCTAATCATTCTATTTGGCTATGTACTAAAGAACACCAGTGATATAAAATGGGTGACAATGATAACTGACTGCACAATTTAATCCATAAAAATCTGCAGTTAGCTGATAGTTCAAATTCAATGTAACTTTTTTTTTTTTTTTTTGGTTGTGTTGCCGGAAATTTTTGGTTGCGAAATACAGTGTAACTTTAGCATGCTTGTGGCTTGATCATTTTCTTTGCGACTTGCGATGTGGAATGGTGACTGGTGATAACCTTGGCTAATCTAAGAAACTTGACAATCATATTATTAGCTTTCGAATTAGCCCTTCTGTGATTGACCTTATTACTATATGATTAATCAAAATAATTATTACATGCAGAACTGCTGCATTATGATCTCAGTGTCCTTTATTTGTGGTTTTAGGTTATGCCTCCACTGTGGTGCAGGCTGGACAGGTTGTGGTATCCTCATCCTGGTGTCCTGCCTGGAACAATGACTAGACAACCTTTTCTTTGTCCTTTGGATCACGCATTGGAGGTATTACCTAGCTTTTTGCTAAATTATAATTGAACTAGATATAAGAACAACATATCGGTGACAAATTTGATTTTTGTCTGCTCAGGTAATGATGACTTGCAACTTATTTGTTGATATATAAATCGTGATTCATGGTGTCAGTGACGAATTCCACCCAAGATTTTTACAAACTCTAAATCCTCCTTTAGATTTTCACAAACTGTATATTGGTATGTGAAAAAAGGAAAAAAAAGAAGTTCTTTTATTGGTTCCCTCCCCCCCCCCCAAAAAAAAAAAAAAGACTTTCACAAATTCCAAATCCCTCCTTGCATCTTTGCAAATTTGTATAATGCTGCGTGGAAATATATGTTTTTTATTGACTACCCACCTCTCCCAAAATAAATAGATACCAGGATTAAATCAAATTTTACAAAGAGGTTTATTTTTTGTCTCTCTTCATTTTGCACTTGTAATAAACAATTTCTTTTGAAATTTGTTACTTAAATTGATATGAAAAATATAGATTTTCACAAATTGTATATTATAGATTATGCATTATAAATTGTGGATTACAGATTGGTCCTCATTCCATCTATTGTTAATTGATGCTACATCTTACTTATTGGCTATGCAATTCAAGCTTCTGTTATTCTTTTTTTGTCCTGGTCCTTCACCTCTATCTGCTGTGCCCATAGTCAAGTTTTTTATTTACATTTGCAAATTCCTTGTACTGTTGAACAAATTTTGGTAAACCTCGTATAAATTTATAGAGACACTTTATTTTTCCTTTTCCCATTTTTCTTTTGGGTGGGGAGAGATGCCTGAGTGGGGGGCTAGGTGTAGAGATAGAAAGATAGAAAGGCCTCATGCCATTTTGTTATTCCTATCTGCTTACCTATTGCTAAAAATGCAGTGCTGTATTACAGGTGAATGTCATGTCAAACGAGCTGCCAGAGGATGAATTTGGGCCTGGGATAAATTTTAGGGAGTATTCCTTCTTTGACAATCCATCAGTGCCTAGACATGTATGTTGATACTAACCTCATAAGGTCAATTGATATTTGCTACCCTTAACTGACCAGGGAATTTCTCATCATCTGATTCAGGTGAAGGAGTCATGGCTTGATGTGGAACTTTGTCAAGAGGGATCCCAAAATTGTTATGTTTCAAACAGTACAAGCAGATCAGGAGCTCTCAAATTTCCCAAGCGCAGCAATGAAGAAATGGTATTACAAATTCCTGTACAAGTTTGTGCTGGGTAATCTTGTTTATAAATACAGACCACAACTTCTGCTGAGAGACTAGACTAGGGTGAATGCTGAAGGTCTCAGTGTATTTACCTGTCATATGGCCTGGGAACCTTGATCCTTCACCTGAATGAACAATATCTACCAGAGAATTCTGCCATTCTGTAACCCATTCTTAGTGGTGTTTTTTGTTTTTTCTTCACAAGTCTGCTCACCTAAACAACATTTGCTGAGATGCTTGCCATATCTGCACTTGTTTGAAACTAAGGCTAGTCTAAGGTATCATTCACTAGAAAGTGATCCAAACTAAAGGTCAGAAGTAAAAAATCATGCTTGTCTTATACTGTGAAACTACTCTAATTAATTTTTTATTATTAATTCTAAGTGCATATTTGTCAACATTACTATTTACCAAAGTATATTTATTTGTTATTATAGTTCAAGGCAGTATTCTCCTCATTCAAGGATGTCAAAGTCATTCAATTCTCTTCAATGCAAGATGCCTTCCTGGGCTTCAGTGACAAGGCAAGTTTCTTCCTCCTGTTTCCTTAGTATATTACTTCCAAAAATTAGAACTTTAACTTGTTTAGCCATGTGGTGATCTACTAAGGTAAAATAAAAATATGGTCAGGCGAGGGAAGAAAGGTTCAGGAAACGTGTGAAGCGGTACGCGGCTTTATGGTGTTGTGTGCAAAATCACATCCCTGGCCATATATATTATGACATGTATTGGGATGAGAAACCTGGTTGGAAACCAGTTCCACCCCAAACCCGCGAAGATGATTATCCGCCTTGGTAAGGCCTAAACGTAGTTTAATGTTGTTCAAAATACAAGTAACTGTAAAAATACTTATGGGCCGGCTTTCTTTATAGAATATGATGTCTGGTGTAGGGAAGGATTTGTAGTTCTTTTCTACCAAATAACAGAAAAGGAGTTTTGATCTGTCTTGTAATGTCATTTTAAGCAGAAATCGAAAATTTGTCTTTTAATTACTCTGAAAAATGTGCGTGTTATCCACTCTGCACATGATAGCTTCTAAATTTGATGTATTGAATATATATATATATATATATATAATTCTCCTGCTTGTGCCTTCATCGATGTATAATTTGGCTTTGGTTAGTGGTATAACTAACCATTTCATGTGCTCCATTTTGTTTCACATTTACGGGTGGAAAATTAAACAAGCCCCCTTGCCAAAAGTTTTTCTCCTCGACGTGAACTCACAAAGCACAGAATATAATTGGTTGATCTGGGCTAGCTGGCTGCATGATTGCGGACATAAAATGGGGCCTTTTGGTGGAAGCAGTTGGCTCCATTCCACGTGACATTTACTGGGTCAATCAAATACATAAAAAAGTCTAAAACTAAAAAAATTATATTCTATAATAATTAACAATTACAAGAGAAAATGTCGGCTTTAATACTTATTAAAACTTTCAAGTCAAACAAGTCACAAGGCAACAAGTGGAAACCAGAAATTTTGACGTGACAACGGTTTGTTTGCGTAGTTTTTTTTTTGGGGTAGTTCTTAGCTTCTAAATGAAAAATATTGCTTTTGACTATTTAGATATCTCGCTTTTGTGCTACTTTTTTGTAAATTTCAGTTAGAAATATTCAGAAATAAAAACACATAAGAACATACTTCTCATAACTAATAGTATACTTATAAATATTTGCAGATATTATTAGGTAAACATACTCCTTGATATATATCAAATTCCATCTTACATTTGGTAAACAAAATCCTTAAACATCATATTCCTCTCAAAATATTTTTAATTTATGTTGCAATTTATCTAACAGAATTTTTATGCTTTGTATTATTGTATGATTTGTGTTTTTCATTAAATCAAAAATTCTATTAAAGTTTAAGAAGAAGAAAAAAGAATAATTTTAAATTGAAAGAAAAATTATATTGAAGAGGAGATTGTGAAGAATTAAATTAAAAATTATTAATAACTTATATAAAAATAATTATATAAATTATTACTAACTTGTACAAATTTTCATTTTTTTATTATTATATGATTTATTTATTTTAATTAATTTAAAAATTAAATTAAAGTTTAAAACAAGGAAATTATTAATATATTTTATTTTTCTTAATAACTTCAAAATTATATTTTTAACTCAAAAAACTTGTTTTGTGTCTATATATTTTCAAAAAAAAATTTAATATTTTGTCATAATAAACAATTATTATTACTATCTTATCAAATATTCATCTATCTATTTTTATTTTCGAACTAAATTTATAAATAATTTTAATTTTATATTTTTTAAATTATTATTATTTTTTATCAATTATACGAGAAATAGCGATTCACACATATAAGCACAAAAATTAACGACGGCCTCGGCGTCGTGGATGAATCCTCGCGTATAAAGGAGGGCAGAATTGTAATATTGTATCAAATGATTAAATTACGTGCCAAAGGAGGATTGATATGGGGTTTCGTGAGGACAGTCCTGTCCAACAGCTTTGGGCTTAGGCACCCAAAATTTAAGTAAAAATTTTCCAGAAAAAAAGAGAATTTCTTTGGTGGCCTTAATAGGAGCACAAAAGGATAATTAGAAAAATATATAGATGCGTTAGTGCATAGATGAACAGATCTGAATAAGATGGGAGTGCGATGAAATTCCACAGAGGGCATGGGTTGCTCTGCATTGAACTCAAAGTAACCCGGGCTATTAGAAAAGCCACTCTTGCCACCTTTTTGGGAAGAACTTCATCAACTCTGCTTCATATTTGCCCAAATGCAACTTCACAATATTTTCCAACCTATCAGTCTGATTCCTACGATGCCCCTCGTAAACACTACAATGCTTTCTTACCCATTAAACCCTTTTCTTCTCTGTACAGCGTTGGTTATTTGCCCTTCCAGAGTTCCGGCCGTGTCTCCGATGCTTTCCAGGCATTCGACAAAATGTCGCGCAGACAACAAAGCCTTGAAAATTCACCATATCTTTATGTTCTTGATCTCATTAAGTTTTCCACCATGAGACCTGACTCTGCGACTGCCATGGCAGCGCATTCCTTAGCCTTCAAGGTGGGTGCTTTTGCTCACTTACCCACCTCAACCTCTCTGCTAATGATCTACTCGAGAGCAGGTGATTTGGGCTCTTCGATGGCACTTTTCAGTGAAATTCTCAATAAAGATGTCATAGCTTGGAATGCCATGATGACTGCTTGCAATGAGAATTCTTATTTTGGAGATACTGTGAATTTCTTTGTTGAGATGATGAAGGAAAGCAGATTTGATTCCAGTACTCTTGTAATTGTAGTTTCAGCTTTATCCAACACAAACAGATTAAAACATGGTCGGATTTTGCATGGCTTAAGTGTTAAGGCAGGGATGCTTATTGATACATTCTTGTGTAATGCTCTCATGGACATGTATGCAAAATGTATGGACTTGAGCTCGTCAGAGTTTATATTTGAAAAGATGCTGTACAGAGACATTGTTTCTTGGAATTCCATGATAAGTGGTTGTCTACGTAATAATTATCCTGAGAAGTCTCTGTGGTACTTAAAGAAGATGGCCTCTTGTGGGAAAGACACTGATCACGTGAGCCTCTCATGTGCAATTGCAGCATCTGCTTGTTTGGGAGAATTGGTTATCGGTCAAGTCATCCATGGATGGGGAATTAAATTAGGATATGATGAGGGCTCCCATATTTCAGTGGCGAATTCTGTCATTTCACTACTCTCTCAGTGTGGAGACATAGAAGCTGCTGAGGCTGTTTTCAGAGGATTGGTTCACAAGGATGTGATTTCATGGAATTCGATAATTGATGGGTTTACCTCAAATAGAATGATTCTTAAAGCATTTGAAGTTCTGTATGAAATGGTTTTATCTGGTTCAATCAAACCTGATACTGTGACTTTAGTTACTATAATTCCTATTTGTGCAGAATTGCTGCTATTGAGAGAAGGAAGGTCTATTCATGGCTTTGCAGTTCGAAAAGGCATGGGAACAGATTTGTCAGTCACGAACAGTTTAATGGATCTGTACTTGAAGTGCCACAAAGTCAAGGCAGCTGAGCATTTGTTCAACTCCTTGTCAGATAGAGACTTGGTCTCGTGGAATACGGTTATATCTGGTTATTCCCAAAATGGGCTCTCTAGAGAAGCTCAATCCCTATTTAAGGAACTCCTTCACCAGCATTGGCAGTGCAGCTTGTCAACTCTTTTGGGCATTCTTTCTTCTTGTAGTTCTCCTGAGTATCTTCAATTTGGAAAATCAATCCACTGTTGGCAGATAAAAATGGGATTTTTCAACAATATTCTTGCTACCAATTCGCTGATGTTCATGTACATTAGTTGTGGAGAGATGAAAACTTCTTTGTCATTGTTGCTGCAGATTTCTCCAGTTGCAGATACTGCTTGTTGGAACACTTTGATTGTGGGCTGTGCACAAAACGGATATTTCTGGAAAGCTCTAGAGACTTTCAACTCAATGAGGAGGGAATCCAATGTCTATCATGATTCCATTACCCTTGTTAATGTCATATCAGCCTGTGGAAATTTAGGGTTAATGACTGAAGGAAAATTACTTCATGGAATTTCTTTCAAAACATTGGAGGGTTCAGACATCCGCGTGCAGAATGCTCTAATCACCATGTATGGCAGATTGGGGGAGACTGAGAGTGCCAAATTAGTGTTTAGCTCTAGTAAAAACCACAATTTATGTTCATGGAACTGTATGATCTCTGCTCTTGCTCAGAATAAGGAGGGCAAAAGAGCTATGGAATTGTTTAGCTGTCTTGACTTCAAACCTAATGAAATAACCATTTCCAGTGTTCTTTCAGCCTGTACTCAACTTGGAATGCTAAGACTCGGGAAGCAGATTCATGCCTACGTGTTCAGATTTGAGTTCCTGGGAAACTCTTTTATATCCGCCGCTCTTGTGGACATGTACAGCAGTTGTGGGAGATTAGACATAGCAGTACAAATATTTGAAAATCTGACCGAGAAATCCATCGCTGCTTGGAATTCCATGATTTCTGCTTTTGGGTTTCACAACAATGGTCAACAAGCAATCCGGGTATTCCATGAAATGATCAGGTCTGGAACTAGGCCAAGTAAGGCCACATTTATAAACCTTTTATCCACTTGCAGTCATTTAGGGCTTATTGACGAGGGCATGCGGTATTATGACCGAATGTTGGATGCATTTGGAGTAGAACCAGAAACGGAGCATCATGTATGTGTGGTTGACATGCTCGGTCGTTCTGGAAGAATCCGGGAGGCTTACAAGTTTATAAAGAAGATGACGGTAAAACCAGAACCGGGCGTCTGGGGGGCTCTACTGAGTGCTTGCAAGTATCATGGAGATCTTGAGATTGGGAGGGAAGTTGCAGAGATTCTCTTCCAATTGGAACCTTATAATGTGGGGTATTATGTTTGCACGTTTAATATGTATGCTGGTGCTGGAAGATGGAGTGACGCTGCAGACATAAGAAGAATAATTGCGGGAAAAGGCCTACAGAAGCCGGTAGGTTACAGTCTTATTGACGTTGGTATCGGGTAGTTAACGGCTCTTCTTTTTATACTTCCTTCGGAACTCAGAATTTTTGGAGAACAGGAAAAGAATAGGAATTTTTTGAAAAATAAAAACGAAATATGACGTCAAATTTTTGGTTTATTCTGGTTTGTAAGAAAACGAGACGATAAACAAATGAAGTTTTATTAAAATTTGTACGCATTAATTTTTTTAATAAAACGACCCAAAAATATATATTTTTACTATTTCTCTCTCCTTTCAATATGCCCAAGTATTTTTGAAAAAAAAGAAAAAGAAAAATGACAAGAGAGTTCTAAAAAATCAGTAAAAATCAAGTTATGAGCTTTCTATAGTTGATTTTTTTCAAATTAGAAGTCCCGATCTGCCAAAAACTCAAAAATTAATTTTCTCTAGTTTATGAAAAAGAGGCAGAGAAATTTCGAAAAAGCCACGTATGTTAAACGCCAACAATTACTTAGACTCGTAATGGAAGCCAATAAGGCGGAATGTTATAGGTTAACATATTATAACAGTACAAGTCCAGGCCAGCAATGCCAGAATGGAAAGGCAACAGGGGCCTACTGGACAAGCACAGCGTTTATATTATTCATCAAGACAACAGAATCAGCAATTATAAATTTATAACAGCATTATTAATATGCCATTGCATTTAGTTAAGGAACACTGAATCACTTCCACTTCTTGAACTTTCCATGCTTGAACTTCCCCCGCTTGAACTTCCCGTGGCCAAAACCATGGCCATAATGGCCATGTGAAACATGGTGAGCACCATAAGCGGCTGCCGCAGCTGCAGCACCCCCAGCTATCATTGCCCCTAAACCTCCTCCATGCCCTGAAAAAACAAGGACTCCCAAGAACTAAGTACACCGGCCGCGCCGGGAGGGGGGGGGGGGGGGGAGGGGGGAGAGGAGGCTTGTTTGCGTTTGTACCTTGTTTTTTTTTTTTTTCTTCTTCTCAGTTTTTGATTTTTGTGTAATTGGAAACTGGTTACAAAGAAAACGCTTAAAAATCTATTATTTTCATATCATTTTTGTGAGTGAAAATAGTTTTTGATAATTTTAAAAATAACTTTTTGCTTTCTAAAAAGAGGCCTATTTTCTGAAAATTCTCCCGCAAACAGTCTTCAAAAGCAACATGTCAAACAGTTTATCTGTTTCCAAAAGCAAATCTGAACAGGCCCATTTTGCTAACCACTTATACATGCAGGAGGAAATATCTTCTTAGTCACAGTAGCAGGGAGGTCGCTGACTAAACCTGATCTTTTTGTTTTCTACATGCGCGCATCAGGGTTGTCCACTCATTCAAGCGCTTAGCATATGTCCAGCTTTAACAATTAATAGCACGTATAGTCATGAGGCTCAACTTGACATACCATTTTCTCAACTACTGTCAGTTTTAGTCACATGAATCCTATAGAAACGAATGTATAAAACCTATTACATATATGTATATGTATACTAGACGCCATGATACCCGATGCATGTGAGATATTCTTTTAAAACATAAATAAATGTATTTTAATTTATAAAAAATAACATAACAAATTTATAGAAAATTTATATAATTATATGCATAATTTGACAGAGTAATGGTTTGAGAAAAAGGTGAAAAGATTGAAGTAATCAAGAGCCACGATTCTAAAAAAAGACCAGAACATGGGAAAGAAAGGATAAGCTTCATTTGTTCTACTAACTTAAGTTAAAAACAGTTGAAAAGCATAGAATTTATTTGATATTTAAGGACTATTACGAATGGATAAAAATTGATTAATCATAACACCAAAATGAGGTGTTTGAATAGACATATATTTGCCGTTGCATTCTCAATTTGTATTAGATAATGTGTTTGCAGGAGGAGGAGAGCTTTCTAAAGTATAAAGCTTTAGAAACCATACCTCCATGATATGGAGCAGATGGACCTGGGTAGCCTGTAGGTGGATAAGCACCAGGGGGATATCCTTGGGGTGGATATCCTGTTGGGGGGTATCCACCAGCTGGTGGATACCCTGCCGGAGGATAGCCATGTGGAGGGTAGCTGCCAGGAGGATGTCCGGTGGAGTAGCCGCCAGGAGGATGTCCTGCGGCCATGCCAGCCAGGCCAGTAGCAAGATGTGAGAAAAGTCCTCTCTTGTCTTTGTCCTTCCCCATTGTTCTGTTAGCGCTAAACCACTAATTTTTAAAAGAAAACAACAAAACAAATTAGATCCAGCAACATCAGATTTGTGGAATTCCGAGGAACTTGTAGGATTAAACTAACTACAACTCTTAAACGACCATAAGCACTGTTTATGCTCATTCAATCAAACAGGACCCAACAACCATACAAACAAGCATATAACTTATTGGAAAGAAAAGCATTCAACAGAACTGATTTCCATGTGAATATTTCTATATGGATTATGTTGCATTAGGATTCAGAACATGTGTTGAAATAAGTGATTAAACTCAAAACTGAGAATAAACTGATCTGATTTACATTTGTGATAGTAAACCTCACAAGTCAATGCCATAAAGAAAGGCTGTCATATCCAGAAAAAACACCTACTCTGATCTTTTTTCTCCATTTCAAAGTGGAATCAAATGAATTCAAATCTAAGAGTAAAGTGAAGAAAAATAGTTGGGATGAAAACGAAAAAGATAGAGAGTAAAACCAGGAAAAATGAAACAATACAACAGATGTTAAAAATCATTTAGACACTGCCTCAAATCAGAAATAAATTTACACATATTCCGTGTTGAATGAATTAGCTATGGTGCATCACATGCTCATCCATATTCCACTAATTTCCCACCAAATTTGCCAATCAGACTACAAGAAGGAATACAGAAGTTGCATAGGGCTCATGCCTAGCCGGATCCTACTTTTTGTTTTGTTTTGGTCTTTCTTTTCTCTTTCTTTTATTTATTTATTTATTTTTTTTTCTGGTTGCCAAATCTGGCTTTGCTTTCTACTTCTACAACTGAGGGAAAATTGCAGATCAAGGCATCATAGGACAAATCTGCACCAACAATTTCTTTATCATGTTGGAAACCAGGATTTCAAAGGGAAAAAATATTAAAATTTTGTCAAACCGACAATTTTATTAACCAGGTGCATTGTCGTATTTATGTCCAAATACAACATTACAGTCCCTTATGACACCTCAATAACTGAGGAGACAAGCTGTCATGCTCAAAGATAATGAGGGATAGAAAGAACATATTAATGCATAAACACTAAGCAATGGTACGCCGTACACTCCAGAAAAACATGTAAATGCAAATACTAAACGATCATAAATCCATTTGATTAAGTAGAAAACGTTAAATCAGAAACAATGGAAAATCCTTGATCTTCAAATTAACAGCATTTGTGATGAATTCCAAGAAACCTGAAATCCCATTCACTAACACCTGTTCGTTCTATTAGAATGAATTATGAGAAGGAAAAATAAAATGAAATGAACTAAAAATTACTTTTATACGTTTATTTTTCTATAATTGTTATTTTCCCATCATGTATCCATTCATTTTCTTCTTGTCTTATGGGCACCAACCAAAACAATAACCCTCTATATATTTTCCATACCCTGTTACTTTCTTCCGGTTTCTTTTCCCTCCATGACAATGACAAAGGCAAAACACACCAGAAAACAGAGATTCAAGATTGACAGTGTCAACCCATCTTCTATCCTTTCATTCCAACTTCTTTGCAACCAAACGCACTAATTTTCTTTCAAGAACACCAAAACTCCATTCACAAAATGAAACAAAAAAATTCGTCAATCATTAACAAAAGCACCAGAAGAAGCAATTAAGCTCTTCATACTCAAAATGCATGATCATAACCAAGATATTAAACATGCAAAATGAACCAATGAAAGAACATAGCAATTGTAAGAATTGAAATACAACGAACGGGGAACGGCGAGTTACCTTTTGACATTCTACCAATTTTCTCGCATTAGTCAGAATGAGTGAACGAACGAACGGGCGAAGATATACGTCTATGGACACACGCACGGACGCACGCACGCACACACACACACGTAATCCTTGATTTTCTTTATCCGTATTCTGATTACAGGCCTCAAATTAACGCGAAGGCGACGCGTCTAAGGCTCTGAGCATCTTGCGGAGCCCGCCAGCAACAGATTTAAATTAATTAGCGACATTGTTCAGCCACCCGGAGAACGATGTTAAAAACGTAAGATTATATATGAAAATAAAATAAATTCACAAATTCAATAAATTAATTATAAAATCATACAATTATTTATGGAACTATCTTCATTCAATAGTTAGTATTGATAGAATGAATTAATTATTAGATTTTACAGAATTTTTTTTACAATTTTGCGATCTTAAAAAGCATTGGATCTAGGATTAAATTATTATGCAATGTATTTAATTCTAAAGACTGACCTGATAGATCATTATTCTTACAATTATTGAATTGACACTAAATACTAATCTTAATACTAATTTAACAAATATTATAATTTTTGACCCATTTTAATACTAATTCAATAAATATTATAATATCTAATTTAAGAAGTCATAACTTATTATCAAATAAATTTGTCTATAATGCTTAATTATGTATATATATTTGATATATATTTATATGTTTTTATTTCTGTTTTTTACCAGATAATAAATTCACGTATGGTATTAATCCCTTTTTCTTACACTTATGAACTCAGTATAATTTCACAGCATATCGCATTTTGGCCCCTGTTTGGATTCATACTTGCTTTTCTGTTGTCGGTTATTATTTTCTGTGTTTTCGGAAACAGAAAACACCCAAAATCTTGAAACCCTCCTGCGTTTTTCTCATTGTTTTCAATTTTTTTTGACGGGTTATTACTATCATTTTTAGCTGACAATGGTTTATGAAAAATTTAAAACTAACATTTTATTATTTCAAAAATGGGCCCGCTTTTTAAAATTCTTCCAAGAACAATTCTCAATAGCAACCTGCCAAATAGTTCTGTTCCAAAAATAAATCTAAGCAGGGTTTTGCTACTTGCCACTCATCTATCTTACAATGAAATTTCTATTAACGCTCGTCATAATGATACAATGAAGTT